TAGAATAATAAATTGTATTTCTTTGCGCTATATAGGTCCAAAGTGGGCTGTTTTGGGCCATAATGTAGTGGTTTTGGTGGGGGCTTGGCAAAACTGTGACACGAACCCGTGTGTGACACGAACCCGTGAGGTACGTTATATATGTTGAAAGATAAGAGTAATTTCTAAAATTAACTAGTCTGCATTATATCGAGGATATGGCCAATAGGATAAACTACACCTAACTCCGTTTTGAATTCTTAAAGTACTAAGTGACGAAATTCCTAGCGCCGAGACGATGCCTTGGTATCATGATGTGGACAAGAGGAAAAGAAAGAGGTTGCCCAGCCAAGGGCTCACATTTGTGCACACTAGGTTGGGAAGACTTTGCGAAGAATGCGCCTCCATTTTGGAAGATTTTGCTCTTCGTCTTCATCGCTGGTGGGTGCTTGGTGAGGGCCAAGCATGGCCAGAGCCCGTTGTCGGGCCCATTCTCTGCGACTTTGCGCAGGGTCGCAGTTTTGGAATTGTTGCGAAGACGATGCATTGGCTGGCAAATGTGGTGCTGGAGGGCCTGATGGCGACGTCATTGCCATTTCAATGTCACTTGGTCGAGATTGCGTTCGGTGTGGCGCGCTAAAGATTCTGCGTCCTGTGATGGCTCCGCCAATTCGACTACCGAGTGATGCCTGAGCCATTGGCGGTCGAGCGGGCGAGGCCGGTGATGCTGATGGGTCCAGATTCATAGCCGTAGTTGAGCTTGGTTGGGCGTTCCCTGCACGGGCACTGCGCGCCCGGATGCGGTTGATGTGCCGCTCCCGCCGGACCATGATGTTTGTGATCTTGACTGGGCACACGCCCGTTGGCAACACGCTCCGCTTGCACATGGGACACAATGATGAGTGACCGAGTAGAAAGGGATCGATGCACTCGGGGTGAAAGATGTGGTGGCAAGGGAGCTCTCGAACTTGAGATTCGTTTGGCTCGAAGTCATCCATGCAGATGGGACAAGTGGGTTGTGACCAACAACTGGACATGGACGATTTTGGTAGTTCGGGGGCAGATGAGTGACGAGTTAGAGTGGGTTTGTGACCAGTCTCGGCATTTGCAGCAGAAGATGGGCCGGCGTTTGATGACGTGAGGGGTTCCGGGTTGGCCTTTTCTGAGTGACTCGAACCACTTCCAGAAAAGGTGTGTATTGGTAGCTTGTCGAGTACTTGCTGCGACACGTTGAGACGCTTTACACCCAGTGCTTCGAGGTCGACCTGGCCGTTGAGAACGCGTTGGCGAAGGTCGTTGCGACGTCTTCGCTGGATGATGTGCATAACGACAGAGGTGAAACTAACAGCAACAAGCAGGATGGCCAGTACGATGACAAGGAAGACCCAGAGACTGGGAAGTTGACTGGTAGAGTCTGGGTAGAGTGTCAGTACAGTGTATGCAAAGAGACAGTCGCTACTGACCTGTACCGATGTTGGCCCAGAGGCGGATATAGTCGGTCGTGTTGTATATCTGGGACAGTTGATCTGCGTGGGGTACGTCACTCAAGTTTCCAGAGTAGAGGTTCAGCTGGTCCATGATGTTGGATCCAGTCATGGAGGAAACGGCATAGGTTGGGAAATTGTTGCGCGACTGCCAGCTTCCGCCATCCTCGAGGTTCCATGCGGCATCGTTGAGCACGGGGGGTTTTGCATTGCTATCGCCGGGCAGGTAGGTGATGAAGGCTTTGGTCGAGTGCTTGCGTGCCTCGGTGAAGTACTCGATGGTGCATTGGGGCGAGTACCAAGGCGCAACGGCAATAAGGGCGTAGTCCTTGTCGCTCGGCAGGTTTTCTAGGCGCGTGGCGTTGGCGGGGACGTACTGGGCCTGGGCCTCTTTGCAGCCGGAAGTGTAGACCTGGGGGACATAGAGGATGCCAAAGGGATCCTGGTCGGGGTCTATGCCTTTGGTGGAGAGGGTCTGGATGTTGTTGAGGATGTTGTAGCGGAAGCCGAGGGACTCGTTGAGCGACTGGAACTGGTTGTTGTCGTAGTCGATGAAGTGAGGGTCGGGGAAGTCAATGGTGAAGATGGCGATGCGTTGGGCAGCTGTATGGTGTCGTGTCAGTCAGCAGGTCGAGAGTGGTGGGTAGAGGGCAGTGGACAGTGGACAATGGACAGTGGACAGTGGACAGTGGGGAGTGAGCAGCAAGCGGGTGTGACGTACACATGGTGGAAGGCGCAACAGGGGCGGACTAGACGGGCGTCGCTAGCATGCACCGGCTACACTACACGACACGACTACAGGCCATGCTGAGGGCAACGAGGGCGAGGAAGGCGACAATGGCGACGATAGCGACGACAAAGCGGAAAGGGCGGAAGCGAGGCAGATGGCGGGCACGTCGTCGGGGCAGTCAGCGGCAGCCGTGGTGACGAATGCAGATGGCCTCGCGCCAGCGGTGGCTAGAGAGCGGAGGGAGAGGCTGGTGCGTGTGCGTGGGCACAGCCGCGTCGCCCGTGCGGAGTTCAGAAACGCCGAACGCGGCCCATTACTGGACTAACTATACTTACCACTGGGTTACTCCTTTGCGCCCACGCATACGCATTGCCATACTACTACCCAAGCACCAGCATACGCATGCATCCATGCAAGTGCATGTTTCCATGGGAGCATGGCTAGCAAGTAGCTGGGCACGGCCGCCGCTGAGGGTTGGCTGGCGACAACATGGCCTGCAGCAGCGCACACGGCAGCTCGTTTCCCGGGCACGATGACGTCGGGGGGTGCCTGTGGATATGGATGTATGCATGTACATAGTGTGTCGATAGGTCCATCTATGTACTATTGCTACTACCAGGTACACCACACAGCACAGTAAGTCGATGGCGGGTGTGCGGTGGCTGCGGCAGCCACCCATGAGGCGCAGCTTGGCACCACGGCCAGCATGAGCACAGAGACCAACCACACCACGCCTTCACTCGACCGCCATCGCTGTCGCCGTCGCTGTCGCCGTCGCTGGTGTTGATGCTGATGCTGATGCTGGTGCGCATCCTCGACTCGACCCCCATTAACTAGCAGCTCCGTCCAGCCATTGCCATCGCTGTCGCCATTGCCCGCCCCCCTGTGTGCGCGCGCGCCTTCCCCGCATACCCCAGCGCGTCTCTCCTCCGCCTCTCCACCTTCGTCCGCAACTCACCACGCGCCCGACATGGCGCCCACCGGCCTCAGCGGCAAGGCCAAGGCCACAAAGCCCGGCTCCAAGCCCTCGCAGACTCCCCGCAGCCGCAACACTACCCCGTTGCCCAATGTGCGCGCCTCAGTCGAGCCTTCGTCGGCCTCGTCGCACTTTGGCGGCCGCCTCACCTCGTACCTGAAAAAGTGCCCCGTTACCGTCGAGGAGATTCTTGAGACGGCCGGCAATGGCTCCCACATTCCCTCGGGCAAGCAGCTGCTGACCATGCGCGACAACATCGAGAAGACGGTACTGAAAAATGTAGAGTCGCGCTGTGTCCAGTCAGAAGGCGCCCTGAGGGAGCTCATGAGCCTCAAGAAGAGCCGCGCCCCGCGTGACCGAGAAAAGGACAAGGCAGCCGACGACCGCGATCGCAAACACAAGCTCAAAAAGGTCAACCCCAAGCACGACGACAATGGAAAACACCCCCCCGCAGTCGGTGCCCACGGCGTCACCAGGCAGGACGGAGGTGACAAAGGCAAGTCCACTGTTCCAGCCCCCTCATCTTCACCGTCGTCTTTGTCTTCTTTTTCTTGAAGACGGCTATGCAATTACAAGCCCTTTCTTACCTGGCCTGCCCTACATTCCCCCATGCATCAATAAGCTCAGCTATGGCTCCCCCGCGCGTGTCATTTAGGCTCAGGGCCATGCGATCCAACAGCTCGCTAACTCACCCACCAGACAACTCCTCAGCAATATCCTCCCCTGTCTCACAAGCACCGCCCTCGGCTAGTGGCGCAGGCCCAGCAGACGCCCCTTCACCCAGCGCCTCTGACGTCTCTCACCAACCCGCCCCCGCCCCTGCCGTCCCACAGTTCCAGACCTTTGGGCCCGACCCCGCCAAGTTCGATGACCCTACCATATATCACATCCGAGAGGTGACCCCGGGCATGTCGATAGAAGAGAAGAAGGAAATTTACTGTGTCGCTCAATTCCCTGTTACCGATCTGCGCGACAAGATAGCCGGCTCGCCCCCAGACAAGGACTTTTCCAATGCGAAGCCGCCGTCACAGGTAAATGCCACGGTATTTGCCAATTATGTCGAGCCATACATTAGGCCCCTAACAGAAGAAGACGTTGCTTTCTTGAAGGAGCGGGGGGACCGGGTAGCGCCCTTTGTGTTACCCAGACGTGGCCCGCGACACTACAAGGAGATTTGGGCGGAAGAAGACGGATCCATGCACATTGACTCGAATGACCAGCGGCCACCTCCCAACGTCCCGCGTGGTTCAGCTGAAGACATATCAGACGATGTGCTGGAAACAGATCAAGTCTCAGCTGGTCCTTTACTGTCCCGCTTACTGGCCACACTACGACCAGAAGGACGGGGCAACCAGAACAACCAAAATGAGACAAACGGCATTGGCGGAGATGCCATGGACATTGACGAGGGCGCAGGCGCACCACCAGACATAAGCAATACCAACTCTCTTGCTGCTGCATCCCAACTCCCCGATCTTGTCCAGCCTGGCTGGAAGCCCCCAGTCCAAGGTGCACGCACTGACTTTGTGGGCATGGAGGATCGTATACTCATGGAACTCAAGCATTTTGGCTTCATTTCTGAGACGGACGCCGAAGCCCAGTCATACGATTCTCACTTCGACGATGAAGTCGCGCAGCGCCTGCGCTTTCTGCAGGAAGAGCTCCGCAAACAATCCATCATCAACGGCGCGCGAAAACAGCGTCTCCTAGAGCTCACAGAAGAGCGTATAGCCCAACAGGAATACAATACCATAGCCGACGACCTGGACAACCAGTTAAATGCAGCATATCTTAAGCGCAATCGCAATCTTGGTAAAGGCAAGAAACAAAACAAGCGGCCTGGCGGCGCAGGTGGTGGCAGCCATCCTGTCGCCAACGCTGGCATCTCGAGGCCAGGCGTTGGCGAGCCAATCCGAACGCTCATGGAGAGGAGAACACAATGGCTCAACACCATCGGGCCGGTAGTCAACTACGGCAAAACTGGTCTACCAACCGAGACCATTTTTGGCGAGGATAAGATGAAGGAACTGGAGAATAGAGAGGTGGAGATTTGGAACACCGAGGCAGAAGAGTAGCTGTTTGTACTCTACCAGGCATTGCATTGGCGGGTCTGCCATGGCGTTCATCTGTTGTTCTAGGCCGCACTGCAGATTCAGCTCTTGTATGTATACGAGCATTGGGTTAACAAAAGGCGTTAGCCGGCAGGTCAATGTTACCATAATATCCATCACTACATGACGCACTGCGCTACGAACACGTTTACTCTCTCTTATCTTCTCTCGCTCCCCCGACTAGTCCTGCCCTGGATGGTGGCGTGTGCAATATGTATGGTAACGTTTAGGCGCATACTCTAACCCTTGGCAACAGTGGCGTGTCACCTGTCGTGGCGTCCTGGTCCATTTACCCAGCCCGCATATTCGAGAACCGCCATTGAACGGTTCTGCCCCTCACAACCTTGCACAACCAATGCCCATGGTCTCAAGGTATTTTAGGTAATTCTTTTGTCATGTTTCCCATGTCGCAATTGTGCTGACAGCACACGCACCATGCGCAAGGCCATTGATGAAGAACACGAACCCTCGACCAATGCACTACTCCAACCATTGCTGGAAAAGAGAAAAGAAAAAAAAAGTTTAATGATCCCTCACACTCGCTAAAGCAGCCAAAGTTTCCCCAGAAACAGCCCAGCCCGCAATCTACCGTTCCGTCTCCGTGTCGTGACCTCGACCGGGTCTTTCAATCTATTATATTGGAGACTCTCGCCTATCTAGCATGCTGCAATCCACCTCGAGGCCAAACACAGGTAGTCTATAGGTTTATTGCAGCAAAGTTTGCTCGAGAAGCCGACAGTTCCAGAGCGACGGCTGCCCTGCGTTCAGCCCATGCAGCTTTCCATCTTCTCCACGGCCTGCCTCCCGTGTCCACAAGTCTACAAGTAATATAGACGAGTGCAGCTTCATATCGCACGCATGGCAACCATGCCTGGTTCGTTGCTGTCTCCGAGGCGGCGATACAGGAGCTGAACGAAAGCCAGCAGCTACTACCAACGATTGGCCATCTTGTCTCGAGCTTGTTGTATGTGGTTCCCAATCAGCTGCCTTGCTCTGCATTGCGCAGGGGGCAGGTGATTGATGCTAGTACAGAACTATCTTGAGACTAAAAGTATGTAGCGTTGCACCACCTGAGGTTCTAGGTCGCATACTCGCAGTCCGTGGCAACATATAAGTCATGTATGCCCATGATCTGACAATGTGAACATTATCTTTGTGCATCTTGTAGCAACTTTGACTTTCAGTTGACTGCATTTTGATTTCGTTTACCTTGAAGCAACCCACCATGAAGTGTACATTGGCTACCCTTGTGCTTGCGGCCGTCGCAGCTGCTGCACCAACATACCAAGCCCCAGATTCCTTCCAGATCAAAAGCGTCGTATCTGGCGGCTCAGGATGTCCTCAAGGTAGCATCGACATTGATTGGACTGAGCAAGGCATTCTACCCATCTGTACGTTCTCTCCCATGTCATCCTTTCCCCCTAACACTCCTTCTTTGGGTATGCATGCTGACCCACAAACCTCAATAGACTTCAACAAACAGTTCACGGCACGCGTAGGCAGCGGCAAAGGTCCCGAAGAGTCACGAAAGAACTGCCAAATCAATCTCGGTCTCGAGTTCAGCCCTGGCTTCTCCTTCGCCGTTTTCAGCGCCGACTACTCTGGCTGGGGCGAGCTTGACTCTGGCGTCACGGGCGTTGTAAAGTCAACCTATTACTTTTCCGGCGAGCAAGACCAAACCTCATCAGCGCTCGTCATCGCCGGTCCATTCAACGGCAAATACTACAAGCAGGATAACGTGCCGGCGGTAGTGTGGTCACCCTGTGGCCAGGACGCCTTGTTCAACATTAACAGCGAGGTTGTCTTGACGCCATTTGCTACGCCTGCTAATGGCGTGCTTGCTGCAACCAAGGAGTCTGGAAGGTTTACGTCCAAGTTGTACTTTCAGTGGAAGAAGTGCTGAGCTCGGTATACTGTCATCATGGGAGTTGACGGACTGGTATTTTGTTATGCTTCGTAGAACATGGTTGTCTTCTGTTCCAAAGCCTTGTCATGTAAAATGTATCACTCAAATGAAAACGATGTTTTATTGCACATTCATCTAGGTGCTCCGAATCATCGGGCGTGGTACCATGCGATGCTTCATCGCCTCTCCACTGTCTTTCCATCACCTGCTCACCTCTCTCTCTTGACTCCTCCTCCCTTTCGCAGCTGACCTCACTCTGCCCAACACATCCTGCTCCCACTGCTCACGATCCCGCCTTGCCTGCTCCTCCTTTTGTTTCTCCTCATCCCTCAATCGCTTCCTCACTTCCATCAGCGCTTTCCCTAGTAGGTTCTCGCCCCAAAATTCGCGATTTAGCATGGCATCTGCCTGCTTGAATCCAATGCCCCACACGCAGTCGAACGGACTCGTCTCGACCAGCTCGCATTCACCCGTTGCAAGCAGCATATGCCGCAAGCGCTCTGCATGTCGGCTAATAGTAAACTTATAATATGATGCCTGCACAACAACGTCGAATTTATCTATTTCAGTATCCATCCGATGGTTAGTTCTCTCTCATGACGACAAAGAAAAAAGTGCGATACTGGGAAACGGGAAAACGTACGCTTGTCCCATACTGCCTGATCGAAGCCCTGCACCTTGCGCCCCAGTCCCTTGTGCTTGCGTGGATCGGTTGTTCGCAGCATTTTTTGTGCCGTGTCATTGTCGTTGAAAAGCAGCGCTTTTTGAATCATCATATACATTTCGCATGTCGCATACGTAGTGCCTGAGACGGTGAAGGGAGAGGCGTACCATTGGCAGAGGTAGCCATTACTTTCACCATGTTTCCAGAAGAAAATGGGTTCAGAAGAGCATGGGGGGTCGGTTGGTGCTAGTTCTGACATTTTTCTTCTTCTTCTTCTTCTTCTTCTTCTTCTTCTTCTTCTTCTTCTTCTTCTTCTTCTCCTCCTCTCTTCTTCTGCCAGATGGGAACCGTGCTATGTGGACTAAGGCGGGTGTTGTTCAAGATGTTGTTTGGAGTACTCGAGGACAAGATACAGGTTGAGCATGTGAAGTCGCGCCGAAGTCGCAGGGAAGTCTCCATCTAATATAGATACGTCGGTTGAGATGTGACTCAAATATCTGGAGTCTTTTGTTTGGTTGTTGTTATGCTTTGAGCACTAGGACCAGTTTTGTACCGTGCGTCAAAGCCAGTTACGCCCTTTTTTGTTTTATGCACTTCGTTTACCAGACTTTCTACAGTTTCGAGTTGGGACAGCCTTGCTATCTAAATCGGATTTGGCTTCTGATCTAGGGTGATTTTACAACTTACCATACAGTAATAAACCATCCTCTCCCAGCCTTGATATATTACAACCCAAAGGGTAAGATTTCATGTTCGGTATTTAAAGCCCTGATATCTGGATGCGAGGGGGGACCGTGTTTCTCTCAGGGCCCGAGTTGGTGAGTCATTTAGCGAAAGGGCGCAAGGCAGTCAACGGATCGACTACATGTGAGGGCTTGCGATTTTGCATGTTCATTATTACAATCATCAAGCGCGAGCTTCTGTTCACAGTTGAAATGCAAAACGTGTGGATGCGTATGCAATCAGGGCCATAGGGCTAATATGAACACAGCTCCGTAAGGTGCCATCGAGTCACCAGATGGAAAGACATATTCAAGCACGTGACTATGGCTATAGTTACTGTCATAGCCGATGGCTCCGGAGCATGAAAAGAAGCTGCATTCTGCTTGCATATGAAAACGTATCGGAGCTTTCGCAGCGCCAGATTTCCCTCGATATATACTTTGTCATGCTTGTATATTCTATCATGCAAAAAACAAGTTCCATGGGTACTGCCACCAAACCTGACTCGAAACACGCGACAGTTTTTATAGCCAGACTAGCCGGCTCTAGGTAACGAGCAACTCTCTGGGCCCGAGCTTACCAACGTACTACTGCAAAATCACCCAGATGACAAATGGCATGCGCCCAAGGACGCCCGGCAGCTGCTGACACCTGCTTGGTACTATGTACACTTGCACAGTGATGTCTTTGGACAAGACCTCGCTCATCTGAAACCATATTGTCAACAATCTACTCGCCTTGGTTGCCTGTGCTGTGATACACGTTGTTCCACAACTTCGAGAGCGTGGAGCCCGCCAAGGGCGAAGCCCCATCCGGTCGCAACGGTAACCCTATCAACGTGCATTTGTCAGGCGACAGCCGCGGCTCGAAGCACAGAGTTGAGACCATGTAGTGGTAGTAGGTGTGTGGCCAGTCTGAAAACGGTGCAGGGTACAGTAGTAGGGTAGCAAAGAATTTCGTCCGTACTACACTAAACCTGATCGCGCTTCATCAACCGCTCATCAACACGCTGCTGGCAGAGATGCGGAATGCATGACTCGCCACCAGAGACAGATAGTCCACTTTTGCAGACCGCTGAAAGCACGCCCGGCGGGGCAAAGATACTCTTAGGACCAAGGAGAGATGGACAAGCCTCTTGGCAGGGTTGCCTCTATGTAGTAGTTTTGTACATACACACGCCTCAGCAATGGCGATGGCGATGTGGGTGGGTTTCGTCCTGTGGCCGGCCAGCAGCACATATTTGTCAGAATCTCGAGAACAGGCCCGAATGCGGCAGCGCGAATGGAAAGAATCGATATATACGGGCCTCGGCAGATGGCGAGGGGTGATCGTGGTGGTGCAGAAGGGTTAAGACTGCTGGATGGAGGTGAAAGAGGGCGGACAGCTGGTGAGGGGCAGGTGGGATGATGCAAGCATGCAAGCCTAGACTGGTACTCGCCCCGCGATTCTGCGGCTGCAAGTGGGGCGGCAGCGTCGCAAGGTCACTGCCAAGCTAACGCGAAAACCGCCAAACCCACCACGATTCTCCACCAGCTGCCGAACCACTTACCGAGGACAGATGCCAGACCAGAGGCCGAGTCTACGCGGCCGCAAGGTCAAGGCCATGTGCTGGTCCAATGTAGACTTTAAGTACCAGCCTTGAGCCCCTCACGGCCACCGCCTTATCCTCTACATTCCCGCCCGTATACCCCATCCCAAAAAGTCCTTGTTCAGCGGCCACAATGTCTCCAGGCAAGGTTTCCACGCTCGATTTCGAAAAGTTCTACAATATTGTCGACGGCCAGCAGCGCAGCTCCGACCAGATTCACCACGGCATCAATCCCGCCACAGGCCAGGAGCTGTGGGACGTGCCCATTGCCAGCGAGAAGGATCTCGACGACGCTGTTGCCTCGGCCAAGAAGGCCTTTCCAGCATGGAGGGATATGCCCGTTGAGGAGAGGAAAGCCTTGCTGGCCAAGGTCACGGAATCCTTCCAACAGCACAACGACGAGTTTGTCAACCTGCTGTGTAAGGAGTCCGGAAAGCCGGTACGTACTTGAATAGACGAGCATGCTACTGTCTTTGGTTAGCACTGTGCTGATAACGAGATAGAGGAAGTGGGCTGCCTTTGAAGTTGGTGGCGTCGCGGCTTTCATGGGCCATCACCTTACGCTCGATGTGCCCACTGAGAAGCTCGAGGATGACGAGAAGACCGTCTACACCGAGTACTCGCCGCTTGGTGTCTGCGCTGCCATCTGTCCTTGGAACTTTCCCTTGATCTTGATGGTCGGAAAGGTTGCGCCCGCGCTCCTGACAGGAAACTGCATGATTGTCAAACCATCGCCCTTTACACCCTACACTGCTCTGAAATATGTTGAGCTTGCCCAAGAGATTCTTCCATCAGGCGTTCTCCAAGTGGTTGGCGGCAACAATGAACTCGGTGTCCAGATGTGTCTGCATCCTGATATCGCCAAGATCAGCTTTACCGGATCTACCGCTACTGGAAAGAAGGTCATGGAGACATGCGCAAAGACTCTCAAGCGTGTCACGCTCGAGCTCGGAGGAAACGATGCATCCATCATCCTGCCCGATGTGGATATCAAAAAGGTCGCACCAGAGGTTGTCATGGGTGCTTTCCAGAACTCTGGCCAAGTTTGCGTTGCCACGAAGCGAATCTACATCCACGAATCCATCTACAAGGAGTTCCTCCAAGAGATGGTCAACTTTACCAAGCAAATCAAGGTGGGAAGCCCAGATGACGGCGACAACATGCTGGGACCTGTTCAGAACCAAATGCAATACGAGCGCGTCAAGGGCTTCTTCGAGGACAGCAAGTCCAAGGGCTACAATTTCGCCGTTGGCGAGCCCGATGTCGCTGCTAGCAAGGGATTCTTCATCACGCCCACTATCATCGACAACCCGCCAAACGACTCTCGTATTATTCAGGAAGAGCCATTCGGCCCTATCGTTCCTACACAGCCATGGTCAGATCTGGAAGAGGTGATTGCGCGGGCCAACAACACAAATACTGGCCTTGGCGCCTGCGTGTGGGGTAAGGACGTGGAAAAGGCAAGCAAAATTGCACGACGCTTGGAAGCGGGTTCCGTGTTTGTCAATTCGTTCGAGAAGCCCACGCCCCAGGCTCTGTTTGGCGGCCACAAGGAGTCTGGCATTGGTGGCGAGTGGGGAAAGACAGGTCTGCTCGCATACTGCAACCCTCATGTGATTCATGTATACAAGTCGTAGAAGGGCAAACCTTAATCAGTGGTGCGAGGCACGTCTTAGATTGAATGTAAGCATCAGTTGACAAGAGTCAAAAGCTTAACGGCATCCAGCTTGCACGCAATTTCTGTGCCGAGTCCAGGGAAGGTGGATGAAGCATTTCATAACCGGCCCCGAACCCCCAAACGCCATGCAGGTCCTGCGCTTAGATGACACCTTGTCCGTATTGGGTTTAGTGTCTCATTTACATGAGACTCGGCTGCTGCTTCGCAACCGGGAAGGACTAAAGTAAGTAAGCAGACGCACAGGCATCGTGTCCAACCTCAGACTTTGACAATGCAACGACGCGCTCGCACACCACCTGCTTGCACAATGTCCCCTTGGCGCCATAAAGAGCTCTGATTTTCATCTCTACCATTTTTTTCCTCTCTGCAAAAGAGACTTCTCCACCTCTTGCCCTCATCACTCCCTCATGCCGCAGTCTCCAACGCAGCAGATAGCGCTATCGAGCGCTATCAAGCGCTTGCCGGTCTCGAGCGGGACGCATGGATCGCTGAAATGACTTCCCAGGATGGGTGGCGTTTCTACGGGTTTCATGAAACAACGTAAGGAACCACTGACCAAATTCCACCGACCCACTCCATGCTTGTTCCACCGAACACGGGATGTCACTCCATCTAAGTAATGTGGAAAAGGTATAAGATGCAGAGTCAACCTGCCCTATATTCGCTCAGAACTATTCTCCTGCATTCTCATCCCACACTCTCTATCTTTATTTGGAAGCGTGCTTCCGCGACCTTCTTTTCCTTGAGTTTGTTGAAATAGCATAGGAGCGAGCTCCTATCCTCTCCTTTCTTTTCACTTCCAACACGCCATTGCAACAACTCTCTTCTCCAATCGAAACACAAACTACATACAGCAACAATGCACTTCCGCGATGCATCCATCTACATGGCCGTCGTTGGCTTGACCTCGACGACGGCTCTCGCTGCCGTGGCTCCCTTTGGCCAGTGCGGCGGCGTCAACTACAAGGGCGACAGTGCCTGCGCTTCTGGCTCGCACTGCGTCAAGTACAACGACTGGTACAGTCAGTGTATTCCCGGTGGAGAATCTGCTGCTCCATCGCCCAGCTTGCCCAGCAAAGCCCCTGCTATGGAGCCTAACGGTACCGCACCTGTCGCCACCCCTGCTTCATCGCCTACTGAAGACGAGTCCTGCGATGCTGATGAGGAGGGCGGCGATGCTAACACGGACGCAAAAGAAGGGGACGACGAGTCCTGCGATGCCGACGAGGAGGGTGGCGATGCCGACACTGCGGGAAATGAAGGTGATGATGAGTCTTGTGAAGCTGATGACGAACCTGTTCCATCGCCATCTGCAGCTGCTAACACTGGTGGCAACACTGGTGTCAAGCCCGCTGTTTCTCCTTCTCCTTCTCCCTCTTCAGCTGCTGGCTCTGGTGGCAACTCTGGTGTTAAACCCACTCCTTCCCCGTCTCCGGCTACCGGCTCTGGCGGAAACACTCCTGCTCCCAACGTTGCTGGCAGCGGCCGCAACGGCGCCAAATGTAGTCTTGATGCTGCCTTCAAGGCCAAAGGCAAGAAATATGTTGGTGTTGCCACTGATCAATACACTCTCAGCGCGGGCAAGAACAAGGAGATCATTGTCGACAACTTTGGCTGCGTCACTCCTGAGAACAGCATGAAGTGGGATGCCACTGAGCGTAGCGAGGGACAATTCACTCTCGATGGTGCTAATGCCCTTGTCTCCTTCGCCACTGGAAACGGCAAACTCATCCGCGGTCACACTACCGTCTGGTACTCTCAGTTGGCTTCATGGGTCACTCAGATCCGTGACAAGGCCAAGCTCGAAGAGGTCATGGTTAACCACATCAAGAAACTCGTTGGTACTTATGCCGGCAAGATCTACGCCTGGGATGTTGTAAACGAAATCTTTGACGAGCAAGGTGGCTTCCGATCCAGTGTCTTCTACAACGTCCTCGGTGAAGGCTTCGTCTCTACCGCTTTCCACGCTGCCCACCAAGCCGATCCCCTCGCCAAGCGTTACATTAACGACTACAACCTTGACGGCGCAAACTACGCCAAGACAAAGGGTATGATTACCCACGTAAAGAAATGGATTGCCGACGGTGTTCCTATTGACGGCATCGGCTCCCAGTCCCACCTCAGCTCCCCAGGCACCCTTTTCCCCATCTCTGGTGTCCCTGCTGCTTTGCAGGCTCTTTGCGAAGCCGCTCCCGAGTGCGCGGTAACTGAGTTGGATATCAACCACGGTAAGCCCGCTGATTGGGTCACCGTCTTCGACGCTTGTGCCGATATCAAGAACTGTGTCGGTGTCACTGTTTGGGGTGTTTCTGACACCAACTCTTGGATCGGTGCTGCCGGTGGACCTCTCCTGTTTGACGGGTCCTTCACGGCCAAACCGTCTTACAACGAGCTTTGCTCCGCTCTCGCTTAAGCCGTGGAGCTTTCTGTCTCTGGGGCTTTTCATAGGCTTTCGGCATTTGGTGTAAATAAACTTCTTTTCTCTGTCAACTTCGTATTTATTAACACATTTTTTTTGAATATAAAACCTTGTGCAACCGATCTGAAGCTACTGTCTTTGCTTGAGAATGTCATGTACAACGTGAAACTTGGATACTGAAGAGATCATGTAGATTTGCAAGGACGATTAGGATGGCGCCCATGACTATGAAGATGAAAACTCCAGAAAGTCAGCCTCGAATGCTTAATAATCTGACAGTATTGGAGGAGTCGAAAACGAAACATTGCCATTATTGCATCATCCCTGGATATAATCCCTTCTTGGCTACCTACGTGCTGAAGTTGTACTTTCTAAGTAACTATGTATGTTCCTACCACAATTCCGGGTAGAGTATGCCATTTATCAGATCACCGTTGTAGATCATCTCTCCGGGTAAAACAAAGTTTATCGACAAGTGTCATTTTAAGTCTGCACTGTAACAGTGCTGTTTTCATGATCTTTATCCCACCACCCAACAGGCAGGCTACACAAGACTTTACTTACTGGTTTTGATTCGGGTGAGGCAATCATGTTATTTACGAGTGCTGTTTGGTCGTTAGTAGAGCTGATACAGCCTTGTATTAACCTCATCCAGGTTTCGATAGGTGGTTTGGCTTTGACCGACTCCGTATTTGGATCGAGATTGTCACCCGCTTCCTCCTTACGGTGCGGGGCAATGAACGAAAAGAACTAAAAAACTGCTTAACACACAAAGATGCTTTCTCGGAAAATAGGATATGATTGATTGTGATCTTAACCTTCTACATGATCCATGTAGAGGACCATATCGCACATGGCAACCCGTCTTCTGGCTTGGCTTTCTTTGTTAATCATTCCCGGTGACGCCAACCATCTATGTATGGAATCCTGGAATCAGTTGAATGACTGTTCATTTGATGTGCAACACTAAACCAGGGTCGCATTCCTCGGATATGCTTTCTTTGTTACCCTAGATCATTTCTGGGCTGCACTTCCTCGTAGGGGTGGATCCTTTCAGGCGCTTACCTGTGAACAAGAGTTTGCCTGTAGCTCATTTGAATTTAGCGGATATGATCCAATTACGTGCTGACAGGTCATGGTTGTACAACTCGGAATATAACGTACCGAAGATGGAGGGGCAACGCCGGAGGGGTAAGGCCGGGGTACCTTTATACCGATACCCATCATCACATTTTCCAAGATGTAGGAATTACAGACCTGAATCTTGATACAGCATACAATTGATTTGATATTCGATCTAACGATCTTTTACTACTAGGATGATGACGGACACGAAGAAACAGAAGAAATACGCTTTGATCGGGACAGGCGGCCGCTCCTCATTCTTCTACACTGCAATAGCAACAACATACAAGACAACCTCTGCCATTGTAGCCTTATGCGACACGAACCAAACAAGGCTCGACTATGCAAACTCCCAGCTTCAGTCCCTCGGACACGTCCAAGTGCCTACATTCATAGCACAAGACTTTGACCGCATGATCCATGAGACGCAGCCCGACGAAGTCATCATCACAACTATTGACCGCACACACAACAAGTACATTGTCCGCGCGCTTGAACTCGGCTGCAACGTTATAACGGAGAAGCCCATGACCATCGATGCGCCGCGGTGCCGGGAAATCTTCGATGCCGTCGAGCGCACTGGCCGAAAAGTACGAGTAACATTCAATTACCGATACGCACCGCACAACACCAAAGTATGGGAGCTACTACGCAACGGTGCCATCGGAACCGTAACCAGCATTCACTTTGAATGGATGCTAAATACCTCTCACGGCGCTGACTACTTCCGGCGCTGGCACCGCGATAAGCGAAACTCGGGAGGGCTGCTGGTGCACAAGTCGACCCACCACTTCGACCTGGTAAATTTCTGGCTGCAGTCGCGCCCTGAAACTGTGTATGCGCAAGGCGACCTGCGCTTCTATGGGCGCGAAAACGCAGAAGCCAGAGGCACGACCGCGTTTTACGCTCGCGCTCACGGAAGCAAGGTAGCCGCCGCTGATCCTTTTGCGCTGCATATGGAGCAAAATGAAAAGCTGCGCCACATGTACCTGGATGCCGAGCACGAAGATGCGTACTACAGAGATCAGTCGGTGTTTGGAGACGGCATCAGCATTGAAGATACAATGTCGTTGTTGGTACGGTACCACAGCGGTGCGGTGCTTACATACTCGCTCACGGCGTATGCGCCGTGGGAAGGATTCCGAGTCTCGTTCAACGGAACAGGTGGGCGTCTGGAAATGGAGGTTGTAGAGAATAGCTATGTGAATAGCGGGGGTGCCCAGTCTCTTGAGGGCAGCCTTGAGACGAGAAGCATCACGCTGAGAAAGCTATTCGAGAAGCCTGTCGACGTGGAGATTCCAGACAGTGTCGGAGCCCATGGGGGTGGCGATGAAGTGTTGCTGGCTGATTTGTTTGGGGAAGGGGGTGCGGAGATTGATGGGGATATGAGGGCTGCGAGCCATGTGGATGGCGCTTTGAGTATACTCACTGGTATATGTGGGAATAAAAGTATGGCAACGGGACAGGTCGTGAGAGTCAGTGATGTTTTTGACCTATGATTATGGTTAGTTGGGAATACACAAATGCTTTCAGGCATCGCAGCTGGGGTTGGGGTGTAACATCTCACATTGTGACAACCAAAGCTGCAAGTGCAGAAATTGCATGCTCATAGAAGACCAGAGAAAGTACAACTAGAATTTGTGCTTTGTGCATTCGTGTGTTGGCATGTAATGCATTTCTCCCTAATGAATCTCATCCTAGAATATCTTATTGGTGTAACCAGGGCCCAGCACTGACATCCAGCGCAATGAGCACTTTATTTTTAACACGTCCCGAACTGGGTTTTGCGAAATCGTCTATCTGGCCCAGCAATCTTCTTATAAGTCAGGGTGTAGAGGATATCGAATGTTTGCACAGCATCGGACAACACTCAATCTATTGAAAATCTGTATTCGATGGATAATTATAGCCTTGGCCCTTCATGCCTACGCAAGCCTTTCTCCCATTCTTTAACCACATTTCTGAGGATTTTCCCTGTTCCACTCTTTGGGATTTCGTCAACAAACGCTATATCTTTCAACCACTTATACCGAGCCTTCTCTTCTTGAACATGTAATTTAAGTATCTCCCCGAGGCTTACATCATCTATCCCCCGGCAATATCCTGCTTTCACTACATAGGCTTTGGGTGCCTCTCCAGTCCGCAGATCTGGAACAGGTATAACGCACACATCTGCAACTGCAATATGTGCTAAAAGGTGAGATTCTATCTCGGAAGGTGCTACTTGAAAACCCTGGTACGGTTATTATGACATGGATACTTGTAGGCTGGATAGAAATCAAGAGGCAATGATTTGCAACGAACAGAAGGGTACGATAGTGATCTTGCTAGAAGCAGGAACATTTGTACTCACATTAACCTTGATCAACTCCTTCAAACGATCAGTGATCCATAAGTGTTCATTCTTGCCTTGCTCACTAAGCCTGAACATTGCCTCATCCCCAGTTCTCAGCCATCCATCTGCGAGAAATGTTTCCTTACTAGCTTGATTGTTCTGGAAATATCCAAGAGAAGTAATAGAAGGGGAGCGCAGATAGAGCTCTCCAGGTGTATCTAGAGTTGTTATCTCGGTTCCATCAGGAGTAAGTAGTTTCGCTTCGTATCCACTGATTAAAGATCCAGACGAGCCAGGCGAAATGTCGTTCTCAACACTATTGGTTACAACAACACATGACTCCGTAAGACCTAGCAGTGTCAATAGGTATGTAAATATATGCCACAGTTGAACATACCGTAAGCCTGACGAATCTTCCACTGTGGGAAAGCCTGCTCCAGCGCCAGCGCCATCTCTTTACCTAAGGGCGCTGCAGCTGTGAAGACGGCAGATATCGTACTGACGTCATACTTACTGACCAGTGCAGGAGATTGCAGGAGATTGAGAATGATGGGAGGAACCTGCAAGCATTAGCATGTTCTTCGGAGCCTCCAGTTCCATCGCCTACCAAATAAAGTATGCTAACTCTGAACATTTCAATAGCTTGCAAAAAGCCGTTGATTTCGTATTTTGGCATTATGACACATTGATCACCTCGATAGAGGCTAGTATGGGCGATTGCAACCAACGCATAGATGTGACTCAGCGGTAGAACGCAAATGCCGATATCCAACTCTGTCTTGTGTGCTGAATGTAGCCTTTCCTTTCGTATACTACGCTCCGTGGCGTGCATCTGGATGATATTGGAAATTACATTATAGTGAGAAATGAGAACGCCTTTGGGCGTTCCAGATGTGCCGCTCGAGTAGCAAAGGAACGCTACTTGCGATTTTGCTTGGCCGGGTGACCACGCCATGGGCTGTAGTGGAGGAAGGCTCTGACCTTCGGCAGCCAATCTCGACGCTGTTTTGAAGTAGCATGAACCATTGTTTCGTTGGTCAGTTGCTACCTCTAGCAAAAATATGTGCCGACGTGGGATTCCAACAATATCTGCAGCTTTTATTGCAGTAGATAACAGCGAAGCACAAGTGAAAAGCGCTTTTGCACCAGCGGAGCGTAGTTGGGAAGTGAGCTCCTCAGCGGTACTCATGGCATTGACCGGAGTGACAATGCCGTTCAGACGCTGCACCGCCCATGCTACGGGAAGAGTATCAATCTGAGAAATTTTACCACTTTAGTATCAGTTTTCCGGTTCACACCCATGTCGGGGGGCTTCTTACACTATTGAAAGCGAAAACCCCCACTACTTTTTCCCACTGCGTTCCGGAGTTTACCTCCCATTCAAGGCTCTTTAGGAGACCTTTTGCGATTAGTGTCGTCCGTTGGCTAACTTCGTGTACATTGTATCCTCTTCCCGAGATCCCACAAACAAACGGTCGATGAGATTGAGATAGCTTATGACGCCCATACTTTTCTTGTAGTAGGAAGTCAAAAATCGAAGTCGAGTCTGGTATCAAAGGCATTTGGGGAACCCATTTTGGAGGATGAAAAACCATTGTGAATAGTCTTTTCGACGATGCAGCTACTTACTGGGACCCCAGCTGGAAAACCTTTTTAATAAAGCTGGACTGTCTTTTACCTTTTGAAAGAGCCGGAGTCCGGGAGAGATACCAATTTACTAGTCTACAGATCAAAAGGTATAACATCGATTCCCGAAAAAAGCCTTGATTGATCAATCTTGTCGAGCAACACTCACCACTCTTGGTAACTCTTGTGCATTCAATACAATGTCACTCATCACAAGGATATTCTTCAACCTATTGCCACTGTTTGTGGTTGCTCAAACCCCGCCCGAATTCTCGCCTCCGTGCACAAAATCACTCGATGTGACTTATTCGAACAATCAGCATGTCCGTCCCGGTCAAAGTTTGCGTCAAAGTGGTCTGACATCCCCATGAACCTTGAAGACGCTGCTAATAGAATGCAAACAACAGATGTTATAAAACAGCCCGTCTTGAAACCCACACATCTTCAACCAGATACCAATTATATCGTTTTCTTGATTGACCCTGACGTTGTCCACAATTACAACGCCACAACCATTCTCCATTGGTACCAACCAAACTGTCACGTATCTCAATCTACTGGAGATTTCGTAATACCCACAAACGATGGTGCCCAATATGTTGGCTCGCAACCTCCCCAGGGAGAAAAGCATCGTTATGTATTTCTGCTTTTCGAACAGCCTCTGAAATACATTTTCCCGCAATGTTTCGAAAATGTATTTCCCGTCTCTGTAGCTGCGAGGTCTGGGTTTGACATTACATACTTTATGGAAATTGCCGGGCTCGGAAGCCCCGTTGCGGGGAATTGGTTTTCTGTCGATAGGCCTGGCGAGGCTAGCACGACCAGAATCATTACCACAACAAGTCTTAGTCGGGCCCCATGTAAGGCAACACAGGAAGTTGGGCACTTGTGACAATATAAAGATCAATTAAATCTTAACTCCGTATCGCGTGTCCTATAGACGGTCGAATATGATTGTTCCCTGAGCAGATTTACATGGATTGAGTTACGAGCTTTGGTTCAACAAGTACTAAGTAGGAGTCGTCAAATCGAGTTTCACATCCAACCGATAGTTAATACTATTAACACTACCTCTCGCTTATTCTGGATCATCAAAATCCACCCGGTGACTTATTCCTGTGAAGTCCGGAGATATCAACTGCAACATCGATAAATCAATCAATAAATGATATGTTCACTGTTTGGCTATTCATTTCTTCTATTTAGACTAGAAGAAATCACTCGTCTAGATACAAACATCAGATCTTGCACTTTAATTGTGCCTATACCAATTATTTCACAAAAATAGTAGAACAAAGTATCATTCCCCACGAACATGCCGCCATTAAGAGTGCTTTGCCTGCATGGTGCAGGGACAAATACAAAGGTTGTCCAATAAAAAATCCCAGCGAGATTTTACTAACAGAAGTTTAGATCCTTCAGTTCCAACTTCGTAATGCCTCCCTGCCTTCGAGCGATCCTATTCTAACCATTTCACTAAGGTTCTTTGATTCGTGATCTGGAATCAGATCATACTGCAACTTTCCACTTTACCGAAGGGAATATTGACTCTGGCCCTGGGCCTAACGTCGAGAACTTTTTCGAAGGCCCATACTATTCCTACTACAACTGGCCGCGGTCATCAGAAGATGACGGCATTACTGTAGAAGAAGCATACGATCAAATTTTGGACGTCATTGAGACAGAAGGGCCTTTCGATGCAGTGATCGGTTTTTCGCATGGCGGCACACTCGCATGTGGGTTTCTCGCGCAGTGGTCAACGCGCCACCCATACGAAGCGCCACCATTCAAATGCGCAATATTCTTCAACAGCTTACCTCCGTTTGTGGTCAGTGGGAATGGAGACTTCATTTTTGAGAAACATCTCAAGGGTAGGCTAACCATTCCCACGCTCCATGTAGTTGGGAGAAGAGACTTCATTTACGAGCATTCTCTCAAGCTACACCAGATCTGTGGGGATAAGAATGCAACCTTGATGCTACATGATAGAGGACATGAGATACCCCAAGAGCCAAAATTCGTAGCAAAGATTGCGGCTGCGATCAGGAGATTGAGTCGAGAAATCATGTTCCAATAGCATAAACCAGGATAAAGTGGGGACTCTAGTTCGAGGATTCGGAAATATCATTCGCGCTGTTTCTCGGAGATTGTATACTGTATTTCCACGCCATCTACTGTCTCGTGAAATTACTCGTATAATCTCACAAATTTCTTCATAAAGAGGTTTACTTCACTCATGAAATGATAGCAGATGAAACCTATTTGAAAGAATCCTGAGTTTAGCTATGTATATAATGGCCAGCTGGGTGAAATGCCGTTGATATAGATATTTTCATTATGAATTTTGTTCGTGACTCGATCCGAGTGATAATGGGTGCAACAGTATTCCGTTTCAATCCCGTTCGCATGTCAAACACTGTCCTGGTGTTAGGGCTGTTAATAATCTAACTAACGCCGGCGGTTTAGAATATACCGGTGAGTTATTGCTACAAATTCCTAACTCCCTGCCGATTTAATGCCGCGAACACAAATCTACGTTCCACAGATTTATCAATCGCTCCTAAGTAAATATTATGTATGAAATGAGGAGGGGTATTGAAGACTTTGGTCGCATGGGGGGTATATAATGCGACATGATCTATAATAGCAGATCTAATGATATAGGAATCTTCAGAGTCAAGCATGTTGTAAAGCAGTAGGCATATGTCATATGTTAAGCTACTAGTGTGGCACAATTTCCTACCACTTTGTACATATTCAATTGCCTTGGGAGTAGAGTAACGCGGATTTTCTTTATGGTCTCATTACATAATTCGAGAGAAGGAGTCCGGTTTCCGGGCTATTCAGCGAACTAAATGCCCTTCAAATCGATGTTAGACATTTTAGCAATGAAGATTATATGTATCAATGATTCTTGATTTATACATGAGGCTTGCCTTGACTTTGTAGCCTTAAATTTTAAATAACAACTTCTTCGGATATCATCTCTGAGCCGCAATTTTCAAGATGTCCAACGGCTTCCTTTTAGTGAAGGACTCCCGCACTACTCTAGAATATAGAGTCCCGATACAGCGGAATTCCGTCCTTGCAACAGCGTTCAAAGATATCAAAGCTCCCTCATCTAGTGGGAATAGAGCAGACAAAGTAGGCAGCGGTCTGAGAGTGCATGACCCCGGGCTTCTGAACACAACAGTGGTGGAAACAGGTGTGAGTTTTGCGTAAGAAAAATTCCACGCCACTCTTATCATCCAGGAACTAAGAGCTTCTAGAGATGGAGAAAGAGATTTACTTCTTTTCAGGGGTTACAGTCTGGAGCAGCTATGGCAGAGCGACTATGAAGATATGTTGCATTTAATGGTGTGGGCGAAATACCCAACACCCGTGCAGAAGGAATCTTTACGCAGGCTATTGATAGCAGCTATGCTAGAGGTCCCAAAAAATGTTTTCGAAATAGTATCAGCTTTCCCGTAAGTAACAGGAATTTTGTTTCATATGGTCGAGAAACTAATATGATGTTGCAAGATCGTCGTCCCCTCCCATGCCGATGGTCGTGGCTGGTTTGGCGGCATATCTGGGAAGTAATCCCGCTATGATTCCAGCGTCCAGCGGCGGAAACATCTACCAAGGCAATATCGAAAAAACTGATGAAGCAATTATCAACACGATTGCTGCATATGCAGTTATCGTAGGGATGGCTGCCTGTCATCGGAAAGGAATTGAATTCACGGCTCCTTCATTGGATTACAGTTTCGTTGAAAATCTATTTCACATGTCCGGCATGGTTGACGATCTAACAGGACGACCAGATGCGATGAAAGTGTCATGCTTTCGGCGGTTCGCAGCATTGAATATGGATCACGGGATGGCACTAGCTGTATTCTCCACAATGGTCACAGCGTCGTCGCTCACAGACCCTGTATCTTGCCTTATTGCTTCATTAGCAGCGGCATATGGTCCTCTACATTTCGGTGCGACTGAGGCTGCGCATCTCAGCCTCCGTAGTATCGGAGACAAATCAAAAGTCCCCGAGTTTATCTCGGAGGTAAAGCAAGGCAAACGAAAACTATTTGGATATGGGCATCGCACTTACAAAGGCACCGATCCACGTGTAAGGCCTATCAAGGAGCTCATTGAAGACTCGGGTGCAAACTCAGATCGTTTAATCGAGATTGCAAGGGAAATTGAAAGACTCGCTTCTAACGATGACTACTTCACATCAAGGGGCCTTCATCCGAATGCTGATTTCTATGGGAATTTTGTTTTTACTGCCGTGTGAGTTGCCAGAAAGTTTATGCGATAGTCCGCTAACGATACTTTCAAGTGGTTTTCAGTCCGATTTCATTCCTATAGCTATGATTTCTCAACGGCTCATCGGGATAATGGCGCACTGGCGTGAGGCGATGGGTAAGTCTAACAATCATTCTAACTGCCAGCTTTTAACAAAGACAGTGCGGGGAATAAAACTTTTCCGTCCGTCCCATATTTACACGGGGGACACTGAGCCAGTTTATACTGCCAGTGCAAAGTTATGACATGTTAATTAACTGTTCGAGGACGATCTTATTGTCACAGGCAAGGCATGGTGCAAAGGGTGATCTCGGTGGAATCGATGTGATGAGCTAATCAACCCGGGATCAAAAACATCCCCGGATACATCTAACGAATCCACGTCACGTACTATTGCTAATGATAGTACTAGATAGTGGCAATACAAAAATGCCGGAGAATCATCCAATCTGCATTTGAAGACACTTATACAAATATGCTTTCCGGTCATGCTCCTGCGCACATCTTCCTCGTGTATAGCAACTCTCTAAAAGTGATCTCACGATGTCTTCGACACCTTATGATCAGGTCATCATTGATATCAAGAACTACGTATTTCATTATCACATTGATGATGAGAACGCCTTCGTGTGCGCGCGGATGGCGCTCCTCGATGCCATGGGTTGCGCTATCGAAACGATCTCTTCGAGTGAAGAATGTGGCAAATTGCTGGGGCCATTTGACTCAACTACAGTCAATCAAAATGGCTTCAGGTTGCCTGGTACTTCATATTTACTCGACCCATTGAAAGGCGCTTTCGACATGGCAACGATTATTCGATATCTGGATCATAACGATGCGATCGCGGGGGCGGATTGGGGCCACCCTTCTGGTGAGGACGATACTTTTAGGTTCTTTCTCGCATACTTACAATCACCCAGATAACTTGGGTGCTATCCTAGCCGTGGCAGATTGGCAGAGCCATCGCATTGCAAAGGGTGATATCGTCCATACTGGTCCTACACTAGACATGCGCACTCTTCTTACAGCCATGATCAAGGCTTATGAAATCCAAGGGTGCTTTCTTTTACAGAATGCTTTCAACAAGCATGGCTTAGACCACGTCATTCTGGTCAAGTTAGCATCTACTGCTGTAGTTGCATGGCTTCTAGGCCTCACTGAAGAAGAAACAATGGCTGCAATATCTCACGTATGGATGGATGGCCACCCTCTCCGCACTTACCGCCATGGAACAAACACTATACCTCGTAAGGGCTGGGCCGCTGGCGATGCCTGTATGAGGGCGGTGCAGCTTGTTCTTTTTGCGCAAGCAGGCCAGCCCGGATCTAAGACGGTACTCACTGAACCGAGATGGGGATTCTACGATACTCTGTTCAGGGGCCAGCCGTTTCAATTTCCAATACCATACAATAGCTGGGTCATCAGAAATATAATCTTCAAAGTCATGCCGGTCGAGGGTCATGGTATCGCAGCTGTACAAGCAGCTCTGCAACATAGTAACCTCATGCGAACCCAAGGCCATTCCCCGGATAAGCACATCAAGAGAGTCGACATACGAACGACAGCCGCAGCTATCCTTATCATTGACAAACAAGGACATCTGCATAATGCTGCTGATAGGGACCATTGTATGCAATACATGGTTGCTTTGGCTTTACTCAAGGGTGCAGCTCCAGAGAGTAACGATTACAAGAGCAACAGCCCTTGGGCGTATGATGAGCGGCTTTCGGGGCTCCGGTCTAAGATTTATTTGAAAGAGGACAAAAATCTTACCAAAGACTATTTGAATCTGAATAAGAAAAGTCTTGCATCTGGAGTAACAATCACGTTTACCGACGATACCGTTTCTGAAGAAATCTTTGTCGAGTTTCCTGTCGGCCATGTCCGAAGTGCCGACACAACGAAGATGGTTCAAGAGAAATTCATGAAGAATATGAAGCTACAATTCTCCAGAGAGAATATCGAGCGAGTAATCAAGGCTGCGGAAATACCCGACATGATGATTTCAGACTTCTTGAGTCTTTTCGCTAAAGGCCGACACAGTGAGCAGAAGTTATAATGCTTGACGAAAAATCGGGGATGAAAGACTGAAAGAGGTGAAGCTTCAACATACCTTTGAAATAGCAAAATTCATGTCAATGCGCCGGAAACTGAGTTGTAGACCCTTTCTAGATTGCTTCTCTTGAAGTTTCCTCTTGTTTGACTTGCACGGTGTCTTCTTCCTGACAACAGTAGACAACCCTTCTCCATTGATTCAGTTACTGGGAGACTTAGTCTTTATTCTCTAATACCGTGTACCAATAAACAATTTCCGGATGGATTTTTGGATTCCCTGTCTATAAAGGTCCGGAGCTAGGAAAAAAGCTGGCTTTATTCATCCATGAAATTCTATAATTAGGTTTAAAAATCTACAAGATTCAAAAAATAGCTTCGTTCATTCCAATACTTGCTTGTAGCAGTCATTACATATTCGAAATCTTTGAGACGCTAAGAGAAAGCTATTGTTAAAAGTATCGCCATGACAGCTAATTCCAACATTGAAGGGCAAGCGACGGAGACTACTGCTCTCCTCAACCGAAAGTCTACACAGGCGCGCTACTCCGTGTTTACCACCACTCAAAAAAGAATTTTGATCTCCACAGCCTCTTTGGCCTCAACACTCTCTCCTTTATCAGCAAATATCTATTACCCAGTGCTGAATTCGATGGCAAAAGATCTCCACGTCAGCCACACAATGATGAACTTCACCATTATGGGTTATATGGTACGTTGTGTGCATGGCAATGATATAAAATTGAGAACTAACTTTGTATGTTTAAGTTATTACAAGCTTTTGCGCCGACTATTGCTGGCTCCATCGCTGATGTCATTGGCCGTCGGCCTGTATACATATTTTGCTTCCTCATCTATATCGCTTCAGATGTAGCTCTCGCTCTACAGAGAACTTTTCCTGCTCTTGTTATTCTTCGAGCTGTTCAAAGTTCCGGCAGTAGCCCAATGGTAGCTCTTGCCAGTGCTGTTGCGGCAGATATAGTAACTTCTGCTGAAAGAGGCATGTATCTTGGGATCGCGTCACTTGGCTCTGCACTCGCTCCCTCCCTAGGACCAATTATTGGCGGCATACTTAGCCATTGGTTTGGTTGGCCATCTATATTCTGGTTTCTAGCAATCGTGGCTACGTTATTCTTTGTGCCATTCTTGCTATTCTTTCCGGAAACTTGCAGAACGATTGTCAAAGATGGATCCGTACAGCCACTGGGGTTCAATCGGACAATATATCAATGGATGAAGCGGAGCCCACAACAGCTTAGTAGAGAAGACCAACCACAAAGAGATTTGACGTACTTAGGAAAAGCGGGTATCAGCCTGCCCGATCCTCTTGTCACCCTGCGAGTTGTGTTTCAGTTCCCCACAGGAATCATCATGCTGGGTAATGGCATTCTTTTCGCGAGCTACTACGCTGTCATGTCTAGTGTTCCATCACAGTTCGAAATCTTATATGGATTCAACGACCTCCAAATCGGTTTAGCCTTTATACCCGCAGGACTAGGAACCCTATTCAGTGCTTTCACGAATGGTATACTTGTCGACTGGAACTACCGACGTGTAGAAGCAGCCCTGGAAGAGAGAGGTGATAACGAGCGAAACACCAAAGACAAATTTCCTTTCGAAAAGACGCGTCTGCACATAGCTTTGCCCATGATGGTAAGAACCCTCCTCTAGCTGCGTAGTGTTCTATAATTAACGGGCAAAAGATCTTAGCAGCTATAGCTATCAGTGTCTATGGTTGGGTTATTCTTTTCCGCACCCCAATTTGGGCTCCTTTGGCTTTGCTGTTTTTGATCGCCTTTTCGGTTACTGGGGCCTACAATGTAATGAACATATTGGTCGTCGATCTCAATTATTCAAAGCCTGCAACGGCTATGGCGGCTAATAACTTAGTAAGGTGTACACTCGGTGCGGCTGCCACAGTTCTCATTCACCCCTTGCTCGACTGGGTCGGCAGAGGATGGAGCTTTACGTGTGTTGCTGGCGCTATCATAGTAGCCACCCCACTACTCCTAGTGTCTTACAGGTGGGGACTTGCATGGAGAACATTCTCAAATAGATAAAGCGTCTAGTATGTGCTACCCCATCTTGGTATGAGCTTAGCAATGCATTCCCATCAGGATTGCACATATTCGTTCACCTCTCGAAGCAGAGCACTCAATCAACTGTCACATAAACTCTGCACATAACTCCGAATAGTTGAAAGTATCTTCGCTTGATCTTCCTGGATACTATAATTCATATAAATGGTAACGGGGTCTCGATGTGTACGATTTTGCCGGTACTTTAATCTCTCCGGACCTTTTAGATACTGCGTGACTTTTCCCAATGCTTACATAAGCTCTCCACTGCATGAGTGAGAATAGGTTAACTGTGCTGGGTTTGATTACCATTTTGACTTTTTCTAGTTGACAAAGGAATCTTTCTCGGAGCTAATCGCTAGTCTAGCTGTAGACCTATGCATGTGGAAGACCACCGAGCGTGCATGCAGCATGGTCCAACATATCTGCAATCCCATTCATAGTGCATTGCAACGTTTCGCCACTATCTACACATTGACATTTGAACCGCTTGTCCTCTTTATCGTTCTCTCTGACATGCATCCTTCTGCCTCATGGTCACTTTGTGTCCTGCTTGCTGCCACCTTACAAGTGACCGCAGCATCACCGCCAATCGCACCACAAGACGGATTCTTTTTTGGCAATCCCTCCTTGGACTGCGAATTTGTTTCCCAGCCTCGAATCTACTCTATATTTTCCTCCCTCGAGACCGATGTTACCAACTTAATCAATCACATTTCGCCAGATGTTGATTTCACCGTAGTTGGTCATCAGCCTTTAGCGGGACACTATCATGACTTGAAACATTTCTATGTCAATGCGCTGTACCGACTCAACAACTGCATAAGACTAAAGTATCCCAACGAGTACCGTATCGAGCTTCAGTACATAACAGGTGGTTGCGATCAAAATTGGAGTGTTCAGGAGGTTTTGTTTAGTGGACGGGCAAATAATGGTATGTAATTCTGACGGAGTGTCAAAGTCTGAAGCTTACTTCAAATAGGTGAGAATTGGTCAATGGTGAATGTTTGGATCACTCAGTGGGAACATAATAAAATGGTCAAGGTTCGAACTTACGTCGACGCAGCGCGGGTAACAGAATTGCTTCACGATAATGAAGTGTGGTCCAACTCAACGACACGTTCAGACCATATGGCATTTCTTCCAGGTCCACGAGGAATGCCTCAGACATCGGCGCTAGAGTCTCTTATAGAGAAAATGGGATACTAGTTATATGCAAGTACAAGACGCACACCACAACACCAATACAAAGCATTTCAAACGTCCGGTAAAGCATGTAGAGAAACTTGAGGGCAGTGACTAGCGCTATCAGAACACACCGCAGTCAAATTTGAGACGTTATTTATACTTGCATTCCTCATGACAAAACTTTCGGTACCCCCATTGACTGCATTTTCATTTGCACTACTCGTTTTCTAGTTATCGCTACGCCTACTAAACCAAGTGACTATAATCGAAATGCGCAAAATCTGATCGCATGTGCAGAGCTTGTACGATTGACTGATGACTCTATGCATATCCGAAATTCTAAATTACATCTACACGTTCCATAATTCCACTCTTCCAACCAACCTTCTCAACTTTAGACTGGTCTCAGCTAACATCACTCGAACTACCTGAGATCTAGAGTTCACAATCGTTCCGAGCGTCATCTTTTGCAGATCCTCCAGTACACTTGCCCAATTTTCCAATCGCTTCTGGAGCAGCTTTTTGATGAAAATGTTTTTCTCCAGTGAAATTTCATAACCACCAACGAGCAAAGAACAGTCTTCCGCCGACTCTAGGATATCTTTTTTCCCGACATTGGAAAGTTCATCAAATGGGAATAGTATAGAAGCTCTCTTATCAGGGAACTTGTTTGTCAATTGATGCAGCGGAGAGAGCCGCCGTGCGGGAATACTAGGTGATTTATTCTTAAGTTTTGATTCCAGTACCCCGATGCCGCGGTCGACAAGCAACACTTGAAGAAGATGTTGACTTGGTTGTGTTCCGGTACAAGAAGAGCAATCCAGCATCTTCTTACTATGGGCAAAGATGTCCTTGTTCATTTGGAGGGCTGTGTCAAGTTTCATTGCGTTCGTGTGATGAATAGCATCATCTAGTTGGAGGAGCAAACGCAGTATCAGTTTGTAACATTCACAGCCTGAAAAATCTGGTCTGATCGGCTCAAGAGCTTGAAAGCCTATTTGGTTTACTGGTGATAGCGGGAGTTGGCGGAATAACTCTGGAGTCGCGGGGTCTAGGATAGGAGCTCGATGGTCTCTGAAGAGCGTTATATCTGTTGTTGGGCGAACAGAAAATGCTTCTGTATTCGAGGGATGATTAAGATCCGGTGAATCATTCAAGATGCTGAAAGCATCCTGCGGTTTGTTGTTCGTCCACATGGATGATCGATCGCCAAGATCACTGCAAGCTTCGGCTAAAGGCTGTTGATCTTGTAGATCGTGTAGATCGATTTCTTGTGCTGCAAGCCCACTACCATATATGTCGTTGAGCGGGCTATCCAAGCTGCCGAGTGTCCCGTATGAGCTCGATAACCCAACATTTGATAATTGATCCATGGCAAACATGTTGTCGTACATAGCAGTAGTCGATATGTTGAATGAATACTCAGATGTTGAGACCGGGTCGCTATCCACTGTGGGTATTGTGGTTTCAGATGAGTAGGCCCTTGGAGATGGAGTCGTAGATGTTGATCCGTTCCGTCCTTTGGAGCTTGATATCTGCTGCACATCATCTGCTGAATGTGCATTATCTTGATCGGCCGGCTGTGTCGGAGCATTTTGATTCTCTGTTTGTGGCCTGTCATCATCCTCAATAGAGGCTTCCCTTTGCTCTACCCTTGCCTTCCTTGCTGTTCCTGATTTCCGAGGTCGGCCCATGCGCTTTGAAACGCCATACACGCATTCAATCTTGTATACTTGGCAACGAACACATTGAGGAATATTACGGCTGCATCGAATTCTGGCAGCAATGCAAGCATCGCACGTTGCGCGGAGTTTCGAGCGCTTCTTAGCCTCTATAGGCGTATCGTTCGCAGAGTTGGGGGGCTGAAAGTCCATTGATGCACGAAGTGTTTTGCACTCGAAAAAGATAGTTCTTGCAAGTAGCTGCTATGATAGATACACTCTAAGTTCTGTGGACAGATATGATCTTCCATTGCGATAGACAGTGACAAGCCTTAAGTTCTTTAGCAATTGCTTATGTGCCTAAAGGTCCGATTGCGTGCTGAGAGTTGTTTCCCGTTGAGGGCAAAAGATAAGGTATGTAACTCAATTGCTAGGATCCATGCCGTCGCGTCGGACCGAACCGAATAGTTTATATGATGAACTAGGTCTTAGTTCGATTCTCGGCATAGCCCGATGGTCCGCGAACGGATGGTTTATACTTTAGCTTGATACCACCAGGGCGGTATCTATATGCTCAAAAGAGTATTTTATATTAATTTTATATTCTTGATTCTATAAATAAGGATATCTTGTTACTATGGTCTCACTTCTACTATTTCTTAAATACTATCTTACTACTTAACCTCTTTATAGTTTTTCTTTATATGTTACTTTTAATATATTACAATTTATAATTAAATAATTATTTAATTATGCTAACGATATATTGAATCTATTAGATATTTGTTATAGATTATAATAATGCTAAAACTATCTATCTATAGTATATATATTAACTAACTAGCTAGAGTATATAGTTAGTTTATATTATATCTCTTATCAAAGGGTCTAAACTACATATCTTAATAGTTTTATAAGTTAAGATACTCTATTAAAACTCTACTCTCTACGATCTATATTCCAAATACCTTCTACTAACTGTAAAGTGTACTAAGTTAATTATATAATATTATAAAATACTTACGATCACTAAAATATAATAATAGAGAAGTAAAATAGTGTAGTTAGTATATTATATAGTAGTTATACTATGACTAAAGTTATAGCTATCTTTTTATACATACTCTCTGATATTACCTCTCTCTATTAAAATTTTAATAATATGTTAATAATAGTAGATAAATCTTACAGTAGCTAGCAATAGATACTTTTAAGATATTTAATAAAAATAATCTTTTATAAAGTATACTATTTACTTAAAATTATATATAAAGAGGTACTATAATCTATAACTATAATAATATTCAACAGTATATATTTATCTACTTTTTGTAACGGCGCAGGCAAGACTACTCGGATGAGTATCGGCGGTAGTGTCACTCAGAGGCATATGGGAGTGCGTGGGACATCGAACGAGCCTTGATTC